TGTGTGTGTGTCTGTGTGTGTGTCCTCCTATGTCTGTCCCTCTCTCTCTGACTCATTTCACTCAGCACGATGCTCGCCATGACCATCCACTTCGAAGCAAATTTCACGAGTCCAACTTTCCTAACGGCTGCATAGTATTTCATTGTGTGGATGTGCCAAAGTTTCCTTAACCAGTGTGTGTGTGTGTGTGTGTGTCCTCCTATGTCTGTTTCTCACTTTCTGACTCATTTCAGTCAGCATGATGCTTGCCATGACCATCCACTTCGAAGCACATTTCACGACTCCATCTTTCCTAACAGCTGTATAGTTTTCCATTGTGTGGATGTGCCAAAGTTTCTTTAACCAGTGTGTGTGTGTGTGTGTGTGTGTCCTCCTATGTCTGTCCCTCACTTTCTGACTCATTTCACCCAGCAGGATGCTCGCCATGACCATCCACTTCGAAGCAAATTTCACGATTCCATCTTTCCTAACGGCTGCATAGTATTCCATTGTGTGGATGTGCCAAAGTTTCTTTAACCAGTGTGTGTGTGTGTGGTTTCAAGGCCACAAATGTGAGCCAGAGTAGGTGTATGAACCTGGGATTACTGTGTACATCACCCTCCAAGACTCTAGATCCACATCAGGGTAGTACCAGGACCCCAGAACCCCAGAACCAGCCCTTCCCTCTTCTTCCAGAGTTTCTACTCCTGACCCATACTATCTAGACAGAAACCTGGGAACTGAGCAGTATGGAGGTCTAGGGGGAAGGGGGACGCATTCTAGGGGGTCAACTCAGAACGGAAGTAGGGGGACGCGTGAATTATTTGCCACAAAGCATTAGAAAATACTGTGATATTTTATTATTAAAAATGTTGCTGAAAAGTTTATACATATGTATCCAGCCATATATATCTTCTATCATTACTTAAGGCAAAATCAAAACCAAAATCGCGAAATAATAACCCCAAGAAACCATTTGAACCCTGCGTGCCTATGGAAGGGACCAGGGTGGAGGGGAGGAAAAAAAAAAGCCTAGGAAATGTTTTTACTGTTTGGAATTTTTTTTTCTTTTTGTACTTCGGTTTTTCTTTTTTTTTTTTCCTTTTTTGCTTTTGATTTTTTTTTTTAATAGATTGCACGTAGATTGAATGCTCATAGAACTCTATGAAGAACTCGATCCCTTCTTTTCCACGTAGAAATCACGTCGCCTTTTCGAGCATCTGAAATTGCTTTTTTTTGGCTCGTCATCCTCCGTCAAAGCGAACGCAAGTCACTTAACAAGAACTCTTTTTTGTTTGTTTTGTTTTTCTTCTTCTTTACCCAAATGTCACAAGCGTGATACATTACTTACTGTGCATATTGCTACCGGAAGGACAAAATCGGGGAGGGTGGGGGGGGGGGACGGGACGGAACAAATACGGGGATTTCACATCACACACAGACCAAACCAACGTGAGCTGCCCAACATCCGTTTTCCTTCTCGACCTGCCGGGCATGGAGTAAGGAGGAGACGGGCTGGCAGGAAAACTTCCGGACGGGCGTTGGTGGAAGGACACACAGCTGATGGGACAGAGGGAATGTGAGGGGGGAAGAGGAGGAGGAAGAGGAGGCAGAGGAGGCAGAGGAGGAGGAGGAGGAGGAAGAGGAGAAGGAGGAGGAGGAGGAGGAGGAGGAGAAGAAGAAGAAGAAGAAGAAGGAGGAGGAGGAGGAGGAGGAGGAGGAAGAGGAAGAGAAGGAGGAGAAGGAGAAGGAGGAGGAGGAGGAGGACAAGGACGAGGATGAGGACAAGGATGACGAGGATGAGAAGGAAGAAGAAGAAGAAGAGGAAGAAGAAGAAGAAGAAGAAGAAGAAGAAGAAGAAGAAGAAGAAGAAGGAGGAGGAGGAGGAGGAGGAGGAGGAGGAGGAGGAGGAGGAGGAAGAGGAAGAGAAGGAGAAGAAGAAGGAGGAGGAGGAGGACAAGGACGAGGATGAGGAGGACGAGGATGAGGAGGAAGAAGAAGAAGAAGAAGAAGAAGAAGAAGAAAAAGAAGGAGGAGGAGGAGGAAGAGGAAGAGAAGGAGAAGAAGAAGGAGGAGGAGGACAAGGACGAGGATGAGGAGGACGAGGATGAGGAGGAAGAAGAAGAAGAAGAAGAAGAGGAGGAGGAGGAGGAGGAGGAGGAGGGGGAGGAGGAGGAGGAGGAAGAAGAAGCAGAAGAAAAAGGAGGAGGAGGAGGAGGGAGAGGAGGAGGAAGAGGAAGAAGCAGAAGAATAAGAGGAAGAGGAAGAAGGAGGAGGAGGAGAAAGAGGAGGAGGAGGAGGAAGAAGAAGCAGAAGAAGCAGAAGCAGAAGAAGAGGAAGAAGAAGGAGGAGGAGGAAGAGGAGGAGAAAGAGGAGGAAGAGGAGGAGGAGAAAGTGGAGAAGGAGGAGGAGCAGGAAAAAGAAGAGGAGGAGGAGAAGAAAGAGGAGGAGGAGGAAGAGAGGAGTCCACATTGGCATCCCTGGCATAATTTTTGCCCTGTGCAGAGACGCATCTGCAGAGACGTGGCCCGGCTTTCTACGGAGGGTGTGAACAAAGACCCTTTGCAGGGAGCATCTGACTGCTGCCTCTCACGTTGGGTGACTGTGTCTGGGGAGATGCAGCACCACAGAGACCCAGGGTTTGGCTGACGCTCACAGCACACGGCCACGGGGGTCTCTCCGTCTCCCGGACAGGGCGGACAAAGCCTGCTCACAGACGCAGGGGCCGACCCTCCCTAGGGGGTCTGCCCCCGTCTAGAAAAACAATCCCCTCTGCTTCCGGAACCGGAAAAGGAAGCAAGACAGAAAGCCACGGGCCCCCCCGGGGGGGGGGGGGGAAGGGCTGAATTATTAATTCCCCAGCACAGAGCGTGTGGCACCCTGAGCCAGCCGGCCACCTCCACTGGGCAGTTCGTTGCTTGTGGACGGGTTTGGGTTCTGGTCACTGCATTTCTCTCTGTCATCACCAACGGGGAAGGTCCAAGCTTAACCAACCGCCGGGCATCCTTTTCCTTTCTTTCTTTTCCTTTTTTTTTTTTAAGGAGAAAGAACAGCCCGCAGACTGATTGATGAAGAAGAGGGTCGACTGTTTGCACCCGACAATGACTGCAAGGAGAGCTGGTGGGGGGGTGGTCCCAGACCACCATTTTCACCGGATTAGCTGAGCTGGTCAGGGGCCCCTGGGAAGGCTGAGGCGGGGGGTGGGGGGGACGGGGGTCCTGCAGCTGGGAACAGGAAGACAGAGAAGGATTGAGAAGCTTCGAATGGCAGCTTTCTTTCCGCTGCTGGCAGGGGTTGGGGGTGGGGGCTGGGGATGGTCTTCTTCAAGGGAGTCAAAGAAGCAGACCTTTCTCTTGGCTGTTTTTTTTCCCCTCCGGGGTCTCTCTCTCTCTCTGTCTCTGTCTCTCTCTCCCTCCCTCCCTCCTCCAATCACACCCTCCTCCGTGTCTTTTTATCCTTGGTCTTGGCAATGGTGGTGGTAGGGATGGGGTGGGCTTTGGGGGGGGGGTCGCCTGATTTTCGGCTGCCAACGGCATGAAGGAGGAGAATTTTCGGGAAAGAAAAAGGCCATTGGGCACCCTACATGCCCGCCAAGCAGCTGCGTTTCCCCCCAAAACCACACTCCGCCCCGCCCCACCCCGCCCTGCTCAGAGGGTTGAGTGCCCAGGGCAGGGCTGGCCCCCCGACGGAAGCCTCCGCCTCCTCCTGCAATAATGAAATAAAAATAAAATACAATAAAATAAAACAAAGTCCGTGTCTGCAGTGACCAGAAGAACAGAAGAAGAACGTTTTCCTCCATCCTCGGAGGACACAGAGGTGATAGGACTAATGTATATATTTATATATATATAATTTTTTTTATATACATAACACCACAATGGAAAAAAGTATCTTACTAAAAGCTCTTTCAAACGGAAAAACACCAAGAAAAGCTTTGTGTGTGTGTGTGTGCGTGTGTGTTTTCTTTGTGTGTGTTGTATGCGTGTGTGTGTCTGTCTTGGGGTAAGCAGTGAGTGGGAAAGAGGGATTTGCATGTTTCAATAGTTGTTCTCGTTGTTGTTCTGTCTTTGCGTGTGTTTCTGTTTCAACTCACAGCTATATACATTTTGTGTGTGTGTGTGTGTGTGTGTGTGTGTGGATTCTTAGGATTTGTACAAAGTTCTCTTAAATACAGTTCGAGGCTGGCGAAACGTCCGTTCCGAGCAGTCTCTCGGAGCGTTTCTGCAGAGTCTGTGTCCGGTCAGAAAAAACTCCACCTTGTTCGGTCCCTCTGGGAGTTGCCACCCTGGACGCCGGCTCCTGCCGTAGACACCCCCATCTCCGCTCCCGTCCACGGCGGGAGACGAAGATCTATCCCACATATCCTGTAATGGTCATTACAAAAACAAAACAGAACAAAACAACCAAAAAAAAAAAAAAACAAAAGAAAATCCCTAATATTCCCCAAGAAAACAAAACCAAGCAAGGAACCACATTCAACTTCCCGGCGTGAGTTCCAGCCACGTGGCCACTCACGTGGCCCATCTCCGATTCCACCCGGACTAGTCGTGGCGTGGCGGACGGACGGAAACGGGGTGTGTGTGTGTATGTGTGTGTGTGTGTGTGTGTGTGTGTGTGTGTGTGTAGGAGAGGGCGCCAAGCTTTCAAACTGTGTTTGCACAGCGGGAGGTGGGACGTGTCTTCACCTTTCCCGGGAAGGGGGCATCGTTGCAACTGGTCCTACGGGGGTGGGGGGGGGGAGAGGCCACTGAAATCGGTGGCAACGGTGGACAGTGAAAAGAGGATGAGTAGAAACGTGGCATACACAGAGGGTTGCCCTTGTCTTTGTTTGTTCATTTGTTTCCTGTCCTTCCGAATCCTCGTTGTGTGTTTGTGTTAAGTGCGTGGCCTGGAGCCCGTGCCTTCTTTGGAAGGTGGGGGAGGCACCCGGGTCTGCCTTCGTGCGTGTCCCACCCACCCACCTACCCACCCACGGGTGGCGGGTGGCATGGGAGGTGGGCGTACCACGGCCCGGGGCCGGGCTATACCCGGGTGGTAGAGTGTCCGTGGGGCAAATTCGTACTGTTCTGGCCACCGCTGAACGTGTTGAAGGTGTGCAGGGGCTGCATGCCCGTCAGGGTGTTGGGGATCATGGTGATGGTGTTGGGTGTCATGAGCGGGATGTCATCGGGGGAGCGACGCAGCGTGAGGGTGTAGTCGGGCGGGCAGGCCAGCCGCAGGGTGTCGTGGGCCTGCAGGGACTCGCACTCGTGGTCGTGCTCCATCTGCTTCATCTGCAGTGACACCATCTCCTCGTTCTGCAGGTGGGCGATGTCGTTGCTGGGGTTGCGCGGGGGGCTGGGCCGCCGGTGGGTCTCGTGGCGCCGCTTGTCCTTCTTGTAGTAGAGGGCGGCGAAGGCCAGGATGTTGAGGAAGAGCAGAGAGGCGCCCACGGCGATGGTGACGCTCAGCTCCGTGGAGTAGTCCCGCTTGGTCTCGATGAGGACCGTGGTGTCCTCGGGGCCCGGCTTGTGCGGGTCCTTGGCCTGCTTGGGGCTGTTGGCCGGCGTGATGGCCGGGCGCTTGGTGGTGGGCCAGATCTTGGCCGGGGAGCGCCGGGTGCCATAGGGGAAGGACGTCATGTCCGGCGGCGGGACCTTGGTGGTGGTGGACACGTACTGGAAGATCTCGTTGAGGTTGTGTAGGTGCGGGACCAGCTCCAACCAGAAGGCGACTTTGGTGGCCCGGTAGTGGTCCCGGACCCGGGGCTTCAGGCCGATGTGCAGGTACAGCTGGTCCTTGGGGTTGTACTTGGACCAGGCCACCTCCTCGAAGCGGTTGGGTTTGGTGTGGATGAACTTGGTGTCCTGAGGAACGGGCTGGTTGGGGTCCCTGGGGGGATGGGGAGACAGAGAGACAGAGAGAGAGAGAGACGTCATTGGCGGCCACTTCGCAGGACAGAGCAAGGTCAGAGACGCCACGGAGAGTGTTTGCAACGGCAGTGGGGCTCAGATACGGGGTTCACGTGGCAACTGGCGCGCCTTGGGGGGTCTTTCTTATAAAGCCCCTTCGTCCGCAGGGCACAATGTATTCCCTAGCTAGCTACGAGCTCACGCAAGGAGACCCACACAGAACTAACAGGATGGGGGCAGGAAAGGTTCCAGGAAGGCATGCAAAGGATTCATCCGTGTCACACACAGACACACACACACACACACACACACACATACAATTACATAGTAGGTTCCATGAAGGCATAAAATAAGATTCGTCAGTGCCAACACACACACACACACACACACACACACGGTACAAGGATAGAATGCATGCAAAGACGTTCATTAGTGCCACAATCAGCATCACACACACACACACACACACACACACTATAGGTTCAAAGTTCCATGAAGGCATTCAAAGAGGTTCATTAGTGCCACCGTTACAAACACACACACACACACACACACACACACACACGGTTCAAGGAAAGGTTCCATGAATACACTCAAAGAGGTTCATTAGTGCCATCATTACAAACACACACACACACACACTCGTACACACAAAGGCTACAGGTTCAACGACAGGTTCCATGAAAGCATACAAAGAGATTCATTACTTATAAAATAACATAATAGGAGACGGACACCCAAGGACAGTAGACACAAGGGCCAGCAGGATTGCCCCATGGTTGGCAGCCGCCTCATGAGCTGGGGGAGAAGGCAGCTGAGATGGAGAAGGGGTCACTGAGTCAGGGAGGGTTGGAGGGGTCGCTCGGGATGGGAGGTGTGTGCTGAGAGCAGATCAAGGACCCACCGTGATCAGTATTGGATCTGTATTGGATCGGTATTGATCTCAGTGTCTGTATTGCAAACCGTGATGCCCCAAAGTAGAGAGAGAGAGGATGGGGGAGATTGTCTGCCCTGGAGGCAGGGGGAGGGTTGGGATGGGGGGACACTGGGGACATTGGTGGTGGGGAATGGGCACTGCACTGGTGGAGGGATGGGGGTTCCATCATGGAATGACTGAAATTCAAACATGACACATTTGTAACTGTAGCTCACAGAGATTCAATTAAAAAAATTAAGGGGGCTGGAGCGATAGCACAGCAGGTAGGGCATTTGCTTTGCACGCGGCCAACCAGGTTTGATTCTCAGCATCCCATAGGGGCCACCGAGCCCCTCCAGGGGTGATTCCTGAATGTAGAGCCAGGAATAACCCCTGAGCATCGCTGGGTGTGACCCAAAAAGCAAAAAAAAAAAGAGAGAGAGAGAGAGATACACATCACTGACACCACACATACATACACACTTACACAATCAGTTCAAGAAAGGGTTCATAAATGCATGCAAAGAGTTTTATTACTGACTCTACACACACAGACACACACTCAGACTCTCACACACACAATCCTCCATGCATACAAAGATATTCAATACTGCCAACACACACACACACACACACACTAGGTTCAATGAATGCATGCAAAGAGGTTCATTATGCCACCACACACACGTACACACATCAACACACTCACACACGCTTATAAGCATACAAAGATATTCATGACTGCCAACACAAACACACACACTCACAACAGGTTCAATGAATGCATGCAAAGAGGATCACTGGTGCCAACACACACACACACACAACTCTCTCTCACACACACAGTCTTCCATGCATACAAATCTATTACTACCAGCACAAACACACACACAACAGGTTCAATGAATGCATGCAAAGAGTTCATTAGTGCCATACACACACACACACACACACACACGCAGACACACACATGCATAGGTTCAAGGAATAGTTCCATGAATGCATGGATGCTAAGTTTATTACTGACACACACACAGACACACAGAAAACACTATTACGTGCATACAAAGATATTCATGACTGCCAATATTACACATCCCACACACACAATAGGTTTAATGAAAGGTTCTATGAATGCATTCAGAGGTTCATTATTGCCACACACACAAACACACACACACACACATATATACATATATCACTGTCACTGTCCTCCCATTGTTCATCGATTTGCTCGAGCGGGCCCAGTCACATCTCCATCGTGAGACTTGTTGTGACTGTGTTTGGCATCTCAAATACGCCACGGGGAGCTTGCCAGGCTTTGCCTTGGGGGCGAGATTCTCTTGGTTGCTTGCTGGGCTCTCTGAGAGGGATGGAAGATTCGAACTCGGGTTGGCCAGGTTGGCTGCATGCAAGGCAAACGCCCTACCCGCTGTGCTATCGCTCCAACCCATTAAAAAAAATAATTAATAATAAAAATAAGAAAATAAATGAAGTGGGTCCAGGGCGCTATTCCAGAGGGTGGGCGGCTTCTCTTGCACACGGCCGACCCGCGTTCTGTCCGTGGCATGCCCACGCCTGGCCCCCTGAGCACCCGTTGGTTTGGAATTCCTTCGAAAATTTCATTACAGGGGCCAGAGCGATAGTCTAGCAAGGGTGTTTGCCTTGCACGGGGCTGACGCGGGTTTGATCCCTCGCACCCGATAGGGTCCCTTGAGCAGTCCCAGGAGTGATTCCTGAGTGCAGAGCCAGGAGTAAACTCCTAGGAATGATGGCTGTGGTCCAAAGTCAAAGAAAAAGGCACCATGTGTAGATAGATGATAGATAGATATCTTATATTAACTAATCAAAGCATCCTTCAATAAAAATTAATGCACCAAAGCATTAAAGCGTGTATCATAATATTAGCACATACCATAACGAGGGCTGCAGTCCAAAGCCAAGGAAAAAGGTATACAGATAGATAGATATATTTACTTATCAAAGCAGACTTTGATAAAAAAGTTTGCACCAAAATATTGAAGCACGTACCATAATATTAGTACGTACCATAATCTTTGCAACTTACAGAAAATAATACTCTCAATGGGCATCACCACTACATACATACATACATATATACAGTAGAGAATAGAAATATCTGCATACATCTATTTAAAAATACGTACAAAATGCTGGTCCTATGCCATTACCTCTCTGCCTGGTCATCTACTTTAAAATCATCTGTTTCTTTTTTTTTTTCTCCATTCATGATTTTTGAAACACAGGGGATTTGACAGAGCACTTTCCACTTCTGGGGAGTCAAACACGTCTGAAGCGTCTGTCATCAGGATGTGCCCTGAAATCATTTGCCTCTGATTTTGTTTTTTTTTTCACCCATTCTGAAAAGCAACAGAAGAAACTAGAATTTCCCCCCTCAATCTGCTTCCCGGTAGTAGGGTGCATTCGATGGACTGAACTTTTATTTTCCTGCTGTTTTTTTTTTAATTTGGGGGCCATGCTGGGTGATACTCAGGGGTTAATCCTAGCTCTACACTCAGGAATTACTCCTGGGTGTGCAGTAAAGCATCACTCCTGGTGGTGCTCAGGGCTTACTCCTGGCTCTGAATTTAAGGATTATTCCTGGCAGTGCTCAGGGCTTGCTCCTGGCTCTGCACGCAGGGATCACTCCTGGTAATACTTGGAGCTTATTCCTGACTCTGTACTCAAGGATTACTCCTGGCGGTGCTCAGGGCTTACTCCTGGCTCTGCACCTAGGAATTACTCCCGGTTTTGCACTCAGGGCTTACTCCTGGCTCTGCACTCAGGGATCACTCCTGGTAATACTTAGAGCTTATTCCTGACTCTGTACTCAAGGATTACTCCTGGCAGTGCTCAGGGCTTACTCCTGACTCTGCACTGAAAGATTACTTCTGGCGGTGCTCAGGGTTTACTGCTGGCTCCGCACCTAGGAATCACTCCTGCTGGTACTCAGGGCTGACTCCTGGCTCTGCACCTAGGAATCACTCCTGGTGATGCTCAGGGCTGACTTCTGGCTCTGTACTCAGGGATCACTCCCGGTGGTGCTCAGGGGACCATATGGGGCGTCAGGGATTCAATCGGGCTTGGCAAGTGCCATAAACCATCTCTCCTTCCCGTGCCCAGTGGGACATCCCTAGGAAAACGGGAATCACCGTGACCTTGTGAAACACGGCCTTTCCGGTGAAAGTCTGCGAACTGTCAGCCAGTCTGCCCACGTCCATGTCCAGAGCTCTGCCCCTGGCCACCCCAGCGGGCAGGCGGTCAAAGATTCCAAAGGGAGTGAGGGTTTGTGAAGACCGGTCACATCCTTCTAGTCCCCTGGTTCCTCTCTGTCTTGAGTGGATTGCTTCCACCGGCAGACGGGCTGGGTGGGGATACCATGGCCCGCCCACCTCGGGCGATCAATTAATTTCCCTTCCCACCGCTGTTTCTGATTTTTAACAATGAGGGACCCTCAACCTTGAAGTCTGCGACAGGCGAGAGGCGCTAATGAGATTTTAATAGTTTCATTTGGGTATCAGTCTATTATGTTTTTTTCCATGGTTCCGTTACATGGGATGATAAATGGGGCTGCCTTTCTACTTGAGAAGAGCGTCAAGTGTGTGTGTGTGTGTGTGTGTGTGTGTGTCTTCAGAATGCTCCAGAAGAGACAGGCTGGGTGGCGGTGTGGGATGTATATGGTTCGAAAGGAAAGTGTTTTAAGTGCCAGGGGGGTTGAAAAAATGCTATGCCCGGATTCCTAGGTCATAAAAAAGATGAGGGCATGGGAGTGCGTGAGGTAAGAATTTCCCTGTGTCCGCTGGTTTGCAGAGAGCATAAGATTGGGTCGGCGTGATTCAAAACCTTTCCACTCAGTCTTTTCCCTTGTTGTTTTGGGGTCACGCTGAGCAAGTGCTCAGGGGTGACCCCTGACTCCTGCGCTCAGGAATCACTCCTGCCAGTGCTCGGGGGACCCTCTGGGAAGCCGGGAATCGAACCCGGGCCGGCCGCATGCAAGGCCAACGCCTTCCCCCCTGTGCTATCACTCAGGCTCCTTAATTACA